ATGCCCCTGCCTTCTTTGAATTGGCCAGAAAGATGTCTAGCCGAGTGCTTTTGGAGCCAGGGTTCAACTATTGCACAGGCATCTACCACTGGTGAGTCGGGGTGGGTGTGCCAGCAGTTAGGGTCAGGAGGCTTTGCCCAGCACTGGGGAAGCGGAAATTTAGCTTCCAGACCAGCAGCAGGGAGAGCAGCGATCCAGCCCCTGCCCTGTGCAGGCCCACGGAGCGGCCCCTGTGTGTCCCTGCACTCCCCGGGCCTTGGTCTCCCCATTTGATTTTTGGCTTTCTCCCCTCCACTACAGGCATATAGGGCAGCCCAATGAAGCCCTGAAGTTCCTAAATAAAGCTCGCAAGGACAGCACTTGGGGCCAGAGCGCCACCTACTACATGGTGCAAATCTGTCTGAATCCGGACAACGAGATAGTGGGAGGAGAGGCTTTCGACAGTGCTGCAGCTGAGAGCAAGTAAGGGCCTGACTGGCCCCGGGAAGGGTGGAGAGAGCCTGTGGCCTCCGGGTCCAGGCCAGGTGAGGGCAGTGCGGGCAGGCCTGCCACCTCAGGCTCCCCCGACCACCACAGCTCCCCCGGCAGGAAGGAATCTGAGCAGCAGGGCGTGCGCACCGCCGAGAAGCTGCTGCGTGAGTTCTATCCGCACACCGCCTGGGGCCAGGCCCAGATGCGGCTGCTGCAGGGCCTCTGCCTGCTGGCCACCAGGGAGAAGGCAAACATGGAGACCGCACTGGGCACCTTCATCGAGATGGCGCAGGCGGAGGTGCTCGGGCTGGCAGGGCGTGGCAGGTGGGCAGGTGGGGGATGTTGGGGACCCCAGCCCAGACTCCTGCTTCCCACTCCATGCACAGAAGGACAGTGTCCCTGCGCTGCTGGCCATGGCGCAGGCCTACATGCTGCTGAAGCAGGTCCCCAAGGCACGCACACAGTTGAAGCGTCTGGCCAAGGCTCCGTGGGCCCTGGCCGAAGCCGAGGACCTGGAGAAGAGCTGGCTCCTGCTGGCAGACATCTACTGCCAGGGCGGCAAGTTCGACCTCGCCTCCGAGCTGCTGCGGCGCTGTGTGCAGTACAACAAGGCGAGGGCTGTGCTGCGGTCGGGGAGGTGGGGTGGAGGGCAATGGGGCAGAGCAGATGGGGGCAGGAGCGGGGTGAGAAGAGGCAGGACAAGAGCAGAATGGTAACGGAGCACAGCACCAGCAAGGCAAGAAGAGGTATGCTAGGTTGGGCAGCCATCTGGGACGTGGCATCAGGAGAGAGTTTGGGAAGGGCTCATGGCTGGAGGGGCTTTCAGGGGTCTGTGGGGCTGCGCTGGGACCGGATGTGGCTTCTCCTCCCCGGAGGCCCTGACCCGCTGTCTCTGCAGTCCTGCTGTAAGGCCTACGAGTACATGGGCTTCATCATGGAGAAGGAGCAGTCCTACAAGGACGCGGCCACCAACTACGAGCTGGCCTGGAAGTACAGTCATTATGCCAACCCTGCCATTGGTAAGGCAGCCGTCCAGGCCCAGGTGGGTGTGGGAGGGAGGGAGTTGGCAGCTGGACCATCACCCTGACCCCAGACCGCAAGGCCTATGTGCTGGCCTGGCTGGCTCTGGGAACCAGAGGGGATCTTGGGTGAGGTCCTGGCAGTGCCACTCACCTGGTCTGTATTCTCCCTGCCCCTGGACAGGCTACAGGCTGGCTTTCAACTACTTGAAGGGCAAGAGATTCCTGGAGGCCATCGAAGTCTGCCACAACGTAAGCAGCGATGGCAGGGAGGGGCTGGAGCAGTGGCGGGAAGCAGTGGCGGGGAGCCCTCCTGCTGCTTTCACACCCTTTCTCTCCTTGTCCAAGGTCCTCAGGGAGCACCCCAACTACCCCAAAATCAGAGAAGAGATTTTGGAAAAGGCCCAGGGGTCTCTGAGGCCCTAGTTGCGGTCAGTGGGAATCTTCAGCCAATGGAAATTGCATGGGGGGATGGGGTGGGGGTCAGTGGAGAATAGATTCAGAAAAGAACGTATTCTTTCCCATTTCTGTAGTGTGTGATTTATTTGAACCACGCCTCCTCTGGTCTAAGGGACGTAAAACAAAGCTTTATGTTTTCCAGGCACAAGAAACAGTTTTGCCCTGGGGAACAGGGACATCAATCTGCTTAGCTTCTGCTCAGCTCACTGGGCACCTTCCTAGGGCCCCACTTTTAACCCAGGCCCCGTGAGGGGGCAGAAGGGAACAAAGAGAGGGTTAAAAAAAAAACACCCTACAGCTATTATAATACTGTGATGTGAGCCCTGTAAATGCCTCTCCTGTCCTGCCTGGTCCCCTGAGTCCTGGAGCCAAAGGAACAATGTTCCTCCCTGCAGAGGTGCTCACTGCATCCTCCCTGGCTGCGTCCTCCCTGGCTGTGAGACAGACACGAGGACCAGCTAGCTAGCTGCATGAGCACCCCAGCCGTGCTGAGGAGAGAGAGTCCCTGGCCCACTCCATCCCATGCCTTCCATCTCCTCCTCCCCGAGTCTGCAGCTGGCCTCTCCTGGTCCTCACTGGTTTGGGGAAAACCTGATGACCTTGCCTAGTACAGGGAAATGCATCCCAAGAAAAAAATAGTTCCCACTTCAGCTTTTGTAAAAGACACTGACTGACTAATTCATCCTCCAGAAACCCTACCTCCGGGGCCAAAATCGAGGTCCCTGTTTAGATGGATATTGTTCATTGTAACTGACAAGGGGTTGGTAGAGGTCACCTTCACTGTGGATGCCTCTCTTCCTGTTTTTCAGGATGGTGATAATGGGCCGGTCTGACCTGGGGCGGCGTGGGGAGGAACTCTGAACTGGGAGTCAGGAGGTCTAGGACCTCCCTGTGTGACCTTTCTAAGCCCCTTCCTTCCCCTCTCTCCATCTCAGTGCCCCATCTGTGGCCGGAAATTCAACTACATCTGAGTGTTCCCAAATCATGCTACAAAGCCCTGCCGATGATAGTAACCAAGCATTTTAAAAATGTAATAACTCTGTTTAAATATTTTTGTATAATGGAGAAAAACAGCGTAGCAAACTCACGAACCCTTGGGTGCTGTCACTTAGCACGGTTCTGACTTTTAAGCACATCGATATAATTGATACAGAGGAGAATACTTAGTACGAGCAGAATGTGGATACGGCAAGGTTAGGAAGAGAAGTTGTTCGTTGACTAAGGTTTGGGAACAGTGAACGGGGCAAGGCTCTATCAGCCCAGGCGGTAGGCAGTCCTCGATGGCTACCGGGCCTTGCCTTTGTAACCTACTGCATCCATGCGCATGGCCTCTTGGTGCGAGTCGATGTTCTGGAATGCTTCCCCCGGGTTACTGCCATCCTCCTGGTGGGAAAACAGCCCATTTAACTAGGATGTACTTTACAACCCAGTTTCTTTCGGGGGGTTAGGTCAGAGACAGGTCTGTCTGTGCGGGGAACGATGCTACGGAGGACTGAGCACTAATCACATTTATACTGCGTAAAACCTACGCTGTCTTCATTTCTCTTTAAAAAAATAAAAAGACAAAGAAGTGACCCCGTGGCTCTAGGTGAGGAGGGGGCAGGCGCTGTCTAGCCATGGGCTGTGGCCACAGGCCAGAGCCGGTGGGGGCTTCCAGCCGGGGTGTTGGAACTGCTTTCAGGCGTCCACACAGGCCCCAGGCTCTCTGGTCAGAGCCTCTCAGCCTTCGGAGAGATCCAGCTTTGCGATCACACATGCTGAAGCAATCTCTCCGGAAGGATTCCCGGGGACCAGTGAGAGGGGAGACAGGACAGCTGTGTGTCCCGGGGCAGTCTCCCCAGGGAGCCTGAGACCTGGCTGTCCCTGCCCCAGTTGCCTCCAGGGACGGCCAGGCTCCGAGCACGGTCCTCTAGTGGCCGCTGACGATACAGCCACATGCCCACGTCCATGCATGTCCTAAAGCAAGAGACATGCCTAAAAGGTGACAGAACTGGTAAGGAAAAAAACAAAACAAAACAGGATAAGACATGGAAATAGAGGCCAAAACATGAAAACAGAATGGGAGTCTCGAGGCTTGCACGTGGCAGGCTCTCTTCTGAGTGCTTTGTGTGTGTGTGTATATATATGTATATCTCAACGGAACAAGCTGGGGAGGTGAGCAGTGTCATTTGCAGAGTTGAGGACACCCAGGGATGGTGAAGGGAAGTAATTTGCATACGTAACCTCACTGGGTAGTAGAAGAGCTGGGATTTGAACCCGGCACCCTCGGTCCAGGCTCTTGACCAGTAAACCACAAAGAGGAAGTAAGGGGGGCTAGCACAGACCAACAGAGACAGAGAATTAGAACAGGGAGGGCCGAGTCAGGTCCTTTTCGGGCCCCCTTCCCAGCACTTGTCCACAGAGGCTTGCAGCCAGGGTCCTAGGCTGCTGCAGGTGTCCCCCCAGATCCCCAAGGGGGGGTTGGCCTTGCTCCTCAGGCCCCCAGATGGGGTTCACCGGGGCAGAGTGCAGCCTGCTCCCCTGGCCTGCAGCCCAAGCTGGCAGGGACAGGTCGGACAGGTCTGGCTGGTGCAGGTGGATGAAGTTCTACAGCTTCCGGTGTTTGGTGCTCAAGTCCCCAGGGACCTCAGTAGCTGAGCCCCACTCAAGGCCTCTACCCACCCTATCCCGCTGCCTGCCTCCCCCTGGGGGAATGGGAGTGATTACCCCTCAGGGCCAGGCCCCACTCAGTGTGGGTGAGTGGGAGTGTATATGGCCTTACCCACCAAACACACAGCTTGTCTCAAACTCTCCGCCCCTGGAGACCACTGGGAAGAGATGGGTTCTTCCACAGGGAAAGCTGCTCCCTACCCCTGGCCAGCCTGCCTTAGCTGGCTTCCTTCTCCAGGTTGGCTGGCCTGCATGAAGGAGGCTCTGCACGTTGTCCCCACCGCCCACCCCCAACACAGCTTCTGTGCACACTGCCCTACCGGGCTTGTCCCTCCCTCCCCGCCCCTGCCTCCTGCAGGTGTCCCGGGGCTCCAAGTCGTCCCACAAACGCAGACCACACCATTAAAAATAGAGCCTCTTTATTGGTACCTGTTATGTTCAGGTACAAGGTGTTCCCACAAGCACGCGGGCTGGCAAGGCCTCCTGGGCAAGAGGGCAGGCCCAGAGCCCGGGCTTCTTGGCACAGACACAGAGAAAAATGAATAAATTATAGTTCGAATATTCAGAGACAATATAGAAATTAGGATGCAAATTTCAACATCAGCAAACAGGCATAAAAGCCATAAGGCACCACCTCTTGCTCTGGCCAACTGGCCTGAGGGCACAGCAGGTGGGCCGGGCCAGAGTGTAGTGCCCAGAAAGCCCACAGTCTTCAGGGGCCATGCTGTGGGCCGGTCCCGAGGCACACCCCTGGCCCTCTCCCGCTTCCCCTTCCTACCCAGATGGGCCCGGAATGGAGGCTGTGGCCCCTGCGGGAGGGGAGAGACAGGCAAAGGACAGGAAGTGGGGGGGCTGAGTGGGTCAGAAGAGGGTTTTGGTCACGGTTGGTCAGGCTGGTCCCTCCCCTGCTCAGCCATCCAGAGCCAGGCAGCTGCCACAGTAGACATAGGGCTCGAATCCACACCTGGTCTAGATGCAAGACCAAGCAGGGCAGGGCTGCAGGGCTGCAAGGGATTCGTGGGGTCTGAGCCCTGCCCAGAAACCAGCACTGCCTACCAGCCAGGGATGAGAAGCCTGAGCCACCTAGTCTCCAAATAAATTATGGAAATAAATTATAGTCTTCACAGTCCAGAGGATTCAGCCACCCAGAGGGGCTAGGGCTCAGGGTGGCAGAGGCCAGAAGAGGTGGATGTTTCCAGCCCTGTCCCGCCATCTTTGGGCTAAGAAACATCATACCCTCCTCTTCCTGGCACGGGCCACGGAGGTGGAAGAGACTGTGGGCACTGGGGGCTCGGCGGCTAAAGGGGGAAGCCCCCTCCCACCCTCTCTTCAGCATAGAAAGTTATAAAAATAAATAATAAATCCATCCAGAGTGTTGCATGAAAATTAGGAGTGCCCATGTGGGTGAACCAGCCAATGGGAGACCGTCACATACAGGCCTCAGGGAGCCCCGACATTACGACAGCAGCAACAGGGCCTTCGGGCCGGGAACAGGCCCCCTGGTCCTCACACAGGCACGGGCTCCACCAGGGGTGCCGGGGCAGTGTCCTCGAACAACTGGCCGTCCAGGAAGGGAACCAGGCCCTCGGCGGCTGGCTCAGAAAAGCCCATGATGGATTCCAAGAAGCAGACGCTGGTGTCCACGGGCGGGGAGAAGGCAGGTGAAGGGAAGTGGGGTACCTCCAGGTTGTCCAGACGGTCGGACGCCTTGTGGGAGGTGTAGTGAGGCCCCAGACTGTAGTCAGGCAGGGCCTGGAGCAGCTCAAAGGAGTCACAGGAAGACAAGCTGAGGTCCACTGAGTGGCTCTGGCCGGCGTCCGTGCCCGGCGACACCGAGATGCCAGGGAGGCTTCCTTCTCCCAACCCTTCGAGGCTGCTGTTGAAGAAACAGCTGGTATCCAGGTTGGCATTTTCATCCAGGACACCCGATGTGAGACTGGAGCTGGAATAGCTGTGGGTCCAGCTGGCCAGGCCACCAGGGTCTCCAGTACTGAAGATATCGGCGAGGTGGAAGCAGCTGAGGTTGTCGAGGTTCCCCACACCTGCTTCCTCCTCCTCCTCCTCCTCCTCACCACCCAGGTCAGAGTCACTGAAACTCAGGATGCGCTCCAGGCTGTCGTCATCCACACCAGGCTGGAAGCCAGGGCTGGGCAGGGCCGGGTGGGCAGGGCCATCCAGAGGCTCGTCAGTGCCTGATGCTGTGGAGGAGTCAGTCATGTCGCTGCTGCAGCTGTGGTCTCCCAGCTCGCTGCTCACAGGGGGCTTGGCCAGTGGGAAAGTGGGGGCCAGGGCCTGCTCACTGGGGCTGGGTGGGCCATCGTGGGCTGGGGCCTCCAGCTCCCCAAGGCTCTCAGCCCCCTCCTCTAGCTGCAGGCGGGTGAGCGTGTGGATAAAATGGGTCTGGACCCGTGCCTGGTTAAATTCCACTCGGCCCTTGGGGTTCTCACAGCCCTCCTTGCAGCAGCCGCAGGGGAATGCTGTGTGGTCCATCTGCAGAGAAGGGAGAGGCACGCGTGAGGATGCTGAGGATCCCAGAGAAGCCCCCCAGCTCAGGCTCTCCTTCCCAGCCCAGCCCAATCACCGTACCTGGCACTTGATGCCCGCCAGGCTGCAGCTGCAGGTCTCAGGGTCACAGACCCTATCACAGCGACAGCCACAATCCTCCCGGGATTGGCGCAGAGCCTGCAGCTCCCGCTTCTCCTCTCGATCGATCTTCCGCACGCCCGCAGCCCTCAGCAGGGCCCGCCGCTTCCGGGCCGGGTAGGGCTGCAGGAAGGTCATCTCCTCCAACCGGCCACCTGCCACAGCTGCTGCCAGCTCCTCGTCCACAGAGGCGTCATCAATGGCGTCCACTGTCAGTGGCAGGCCAGCCTCTGTCTCAGGCGCCCCAGCATCTGCAAGCTGCATCCAGGGGAGACGGGACAGATGTGAGAGACACAGACACGTGGTCTGAGCTCCCTCCGCCACCAGTCACTTGACAAACTCTGCCCATGTGCTTACTCTGGGCTGGGCACTGTGCATTCCAGTGACTGGGACAGCCGAGAGCACTGCCTCAGCACATTCACAAAGAGGTTTCCTGTTCATGGCGTTTCCCAGTTCAAGGACTTCCCCCAGCCAGATACACCGACCCCCAGTGTCCGTCAATTCCACATCCTCCTCCCCCTGAGTGCGGTCTGAGTCAGGCACCATGCCCCAGCCCCTGCATAAACCCGAGCCCTTCCATGCCTCGCTCTGCCTGCAGATAATCCAGGCAACACATCCTGATCGAGCCATGGCTGGCCCCATGGGCCTCTTGCCCCAGATACATGAGGAACAAACAGCCTGCCCCTGCTGCCCTTCCCCCCCGAGGCTAGGACTTCAGGGGCTGCCCCACTGTGGGCCTTGGAGGGAGTTCCCTACCTTGCTTCGAAGCACCTCCAGCTTCTCCTCCTTCAAGCGCAGGCGGAGCTTCTCGTGCCGAGTCCGGGCCTGCTCCTTTGTGAACTCAGCCAAGGAGAAGCGGCGGCAGGCACTGTGGCGAGGGGCCATGCCCAGAGTGCAGCCGCCACGGCTGGGCACGCTGGTGAAGCCCTGGCACCGAGGGAAGTAGAAGACGGTGATGCCATCGAAGACTACTCGTCCTGGGCGCTTCCGGGGAGCCCGCTTCAGGATGGACAAGGCTGGAAGGCAGGAGGGGAGGGAGAGGGCAGAGCCTGAGTTCTCTGTGAGGCACAGCACAACCGCCTGCAAGATGATGCTGAACAGTCTCTCCTCACACCTTCTCCTCTGGCCTCCCCTACCCCCGCCAAAAGGAATGGACTCAAACTTAGGAGCCAGCCTGGCTGGGACTGGACTTGGTAAAACTGAACACCCCTCCTATGTCAACACGGCTGAAATGAAAGCATTTGGAAGATTAAACATCTTGCCCATTATAGGTCTCCTGTACAGTATTGTACAGTTTCTTGGTTTGTAGGAACTCTTTATATATGATATTAGAGACATGAATTGTCCCTCTAGCCTATCCATGAAAATATTTCAGTCTCATTTTTGTTCATGGCATTTTACGAAATTCTAAGGTTTATGTAATCAAAATTTATTGATCTTTTCCTTTATAGATTCTGTGTTTTGCAACAGGCTTAGAGAGGCCTTCCCAGAATAAGTTATTGATTATATATATTTAATACATGTATTGGTATATTATTGCTTTTTATTAGGTCGAACCATAAGAAATCATAATAAAGTAGGTGAATATTGGCAATTCCATATATCTCAACTTAATATACTGATTTGGTACACAACCACCTGAGGGCATCCCTTGTAAAAGGTTTTCTGTTTATCTTCTTGAATCGACCAGGTGGGCCACCATCTGTTAGTCAACGGCAATTCTGCCCATCCCCGTGTAGTATGGAGAATTCTTATTCCCTCCGCAAGCCGAGTTGGCTAACACTTCCTGAACAATGTTAACGATCAGTGGTGACAGAGAGCGTCCTCCTCCTGTTCCTGGCTTTGTGGGAAATGCTTCCAGTATTTCCTCATTAACCAGAATCCGCTTTGGGGATGAAACATATTTTTGAACATTTATGTATGTCACTTATCTCTACTGAACCAAGAGTCTTATCTCGAAGGAACATTACATTTTATCAAATATTCCTTCGGCATCTAGAGTAGCTCTTGTATTACAAACCCCTGTGATAACAGTCAGTTTGTAAACGAGAAGACTAGATTTTACAATATTAAACCATCCTTGTATTTCCAGCACAAACCCGCCACCGTTTCATCAGTTCGCACTGTTGGGGTCGACGTGCTGAGAAGCACACTGTTTTATGGATGATGCAGATACACACTTAGTACATATACAGATGCCACATCGGTGGTAGTGAAATATCAGGTGGGAGCAATTAGGAAAAAAAATGCCTCAGAAGGCTCCTCAAAGCTGGGGGAGCAATTATACAAAGTTAGGTGGAGACCACCGCTCCAGGGACAGCTCTGTCCGCTTGGAATCATGCATCATGCCAGCTGGAAAAATAACTGAGAGAAACCTTTTCTCACTGTTCGGGCAAAGCCCAGCAGCGTTCTGACAGGGCAGGGACCGGCCTGACAGGCCTTGCAGCGGAGAAGTGCGGGCGTGGGACTCTCACAGAGCAGTTGGAAGGAGGACAGGGTGAAAGCCAGAGAGACGAAACTGGAACAGAAGGGAGGAGCTGGGCCGGGAAGGCTGAGGGCCACTCTCAGAAGCTCTGTTCTGAACGTCATGACTTTGCAGCAGGGGAGTCCCAAGGTCAAAGGTGATTCAAGCCAGGGCCAATGGCCTCTGGACAATGGGCATTCCTAAGTGGCCACTGCATTCCGTGAAGTGGACAAGGCAGAGAGCCAAGTAAGGGAGCTAAAGCCATGGGGACACAGCCTCCAGTGGCCAGGATGGCTTTGTCACAAGCCTCCCAGTTTCATCTCTAGGAAAGGGGTACGGTGTGCTTCCCAGGGGGGTGGACACTCACGGGTAAAACTCCGGGGGCCACCGACATTTTGGTCAGGCAGGGGCGTCGGACCCCAGGGGCCATCCTCTTCCAAATCCCAGGCGGGGGAGACTGAAGAGCTTGGGGAGCAGGAGCCGGAGCGGCGGCCCAAGGAGGACGAAGATGAGGATGAGCAGAGAGAGGAGTCATCCTCTTCCAACTGGTCAAACTTCCTCTTCAGCAGCCCCGTCATGGTGGGTGCTCCGGAGTCCAGGCACAGACAGCCTAGGATGGGAAGGAGAAAGCTCTCAGTGGCAGGCCTGCAGCCGAGAGGCAGGCTCGGTTGCGATCACCACCTCTCCCACCTACCCTTCGAGGTGCCCCAGCCCTGGGACCTCTCCAGGAGGCTTCTCGGCACAAGACAAAGCACCAAGGCCCAGACCCTTGTCCTGCTGCTTGGAGATACCCACCACTGTGCCAGAAAGCCCTCCCAGGACACTGCCAGACACCGTCCCCGCTGCCTCCTACCACCTGCCTACACATAAACAGACTGACAGATGGACCGACAGACCTCTGCACGGCCTTGATCACTCCCCGACCGGAATCCTGGGGGCTGACTCACCGGCTGGGTGATTCACACAGCTCACATCTGTGTGCTTTGTGAGTGTGAGGCTGTCTGCAAGGCAGTGGCTCTGCTTCCTCCTCCTCCTCCTCCTTCTCCCCTCCCAGCACACCCACAGGCGCACGGCCCTGCAGACACCCAACCGCTGTGGGCCCTGCTCCAGGGCCAGGCTAACCGGGACACTCTGGCAAACAGGCTGGCTTTGGCTATGGCTCCGACGCTGGCCCTGGTCCCCAGGACTTTCCTGAGTCCCTCCTCTCCTGGGAAGGACCTGCTCAGACTCTCCCTCAGAAACCCCCGGCTCCACAGAGAAGTCCCCTGCCTCCAGGCCTGACGATGGCACCTGGAGCCCTCCGGCTTCCTGTCTCTTTCCCATCTCCCGTCTGGTCTTAAAGAGGCACTTACATCTACCTTCCACTCCAATATCTAGCCATTTGTCTGAATTAACTTCCAGTGGAAATTATTCTTTCCCCTTAGAAAAAAAAACTCTTCTAGTATAACCGACCTGCCAAGACAATGTCCCGCTCTCTCCGGTCTGTAGCTCAGTGACTTGGAGCAACCCAGGACATACCACTCACGTCTCCCCTTTGAAGGTCTCGGCCCCCTGTGAGAATGCACCCGAACTCCCTCAGCCTGTCTAGCCGTGTCCAAGTGCAGGGGAGAGGAGTTGGGCTTCCTTCCCCTAAATGCCAAGGCAAGTAACAGTCCCTCCTGCTGCTTGGGAATCCCCAAAGGACTCAGTCCTAAGGGCTGACCACAGCCAACTACCTTGTCTCTGCACATCCGGTGGCACTCAGAGCTGGGCCCCCAGGAGGTCACCAGGAGGAAGGGGAACGAGGCAGAGGCCCCACTGCTGGGGAGCCCCTCCCCCACGGCCATGACAGGAAATGAGAGAGAACAGGAAAAAACCAGCCAGAAGGCTGGCGATCCCCCCTCCTCAGGTATCCTTTCTAAATACCCTTTCCTTTCCCCCTTTGCCAAACGGTCCACAAAGTCCCTAGATCATAGACACAGAGGGTGTGCTGTCACTCGACTTACTGGGTAAAATTCTTTCCAGGGACAACCTGTCCCCGAAGGAACAAGAGAAACGAGCGGCAGCCCCCTCCTTGTAGCCTCCACGTTGGGCCCCCGGGGAAAGAGGACACACAGGTGTTTCCGGGGGCTTCTGAGGGGGTAGTTTCTTATGCTTGGCACCCCCCTCCCAAGGTCAAACCACAAACAAAAACAACCCAGCTCCCAGCTGACCTGCAGGCTCTCCCAGGAGATGGGAGAACTTCGTGACCCAGAGCCAGGCGTACACACACACACACACAGACCAGAGACTCAGACACACGCATGGACAGACCACCCCCAGGCACACTGTCCCCACTACTGTCCCACCCGGAGAACTGACCCCTTCCCAAGCTAAAAATGTGTCTGTGGGGTGCTGATTCTCTCTCCCATTGCTCACCTGAGCCTGAGACCCCTCCCCGCAAAACGAAATGCCCACTTGGTATTCTTGCCTGGCGGTTCCCTAGAAACATAAAATTCTGCAGGCCCCAGATCGAACCCCTCTTCTCTATTCCCCACCCCCCCACCGTGCCATCTGTTCCTCTTCCTGTGTTCCCTATCTTAGTAACAGCACTGCCACCCACCCAGTTACTCAAGCCAGAAACCTGCAGTCCTCCTCAACTTCTTCCTCCCTCTCCCTGCATCCACATCCAGCCGCACATTAGCTCGCTGAATCCGCGCAAGGCCAAGGCGCAGACTCGGTGGGCACCACGGAGGCCAGCCACTCCGCACATGGTTAAGAACCGTGGCCCCGGAGCCAGACTGCCTGCATTTCAGCCCTGGCAGCTGAGGGACCCTGGGCAAGTCCTTTAACCTTGCCACTCCAACCCCTTGTCTTAAAACCTCACAGTGCTGGGAGGCTTACGTGAGTGAATGAATGAATGAATGAATGAATGAATGCATATTAGCGAACATGTCATTCTACACCATGAAAAGGACGAGCTGCAGGATACATACAACATAGACGAATCTCACTGGCCACGCTGGGTGAACCAAGCCAGACATAGGAATACACACATGTGAGTGAAGCTCAAGAAAAGGCAGACCCAGTAAGTGACTGTATGAGTCAGAACAGGGGTGACTGGGTAGGGGATGTAGTGGGGACAGCCGAGAGGGAATCTTCGGCGGGGCGGGGAAGAAGTCTGGACGTGGTCTAAGATGCCCTGGCTGGGGTTTGTTCCATGGGCGTCTAAAACCATAAACATCCGCCTAGCTGCACACGTAAGATTCATGCACTTCACGCATTTGAGGCACGTCACCTGTAATTTTAAAAGTGTATTACCCTCATGCCTGTGCCCTAACACCTGGGCTCCTGTCCTCTCCCCATCACCATTCTTTACCCTGCAGCCAGCGTGACCTTCTGAAATCCTGTATCTACCTGCCAATGCACGTTTCGAATCACTCCGGACCTCCTCCTAGGAAAGCACGCCCTCAGGATCGTCTAGAATTCCCAGAGACGAAGAAGCAGGCCTAGCTGCTGCCTCTCCTCCGGGCTCCTGCTCTCCCAGTCGCCCCAACCCCCTCTCACGTGATACTCCAGCTGACCTTGTGGTGCCCCTAATGGCCACAGCTGCTCACCTCCTGGCCTTTGCACAAGCTGGAGCCCAGCCTCCCTCTCCTTTAGAAATCATCTCCGAGTGGGCCTCCCTGAAACCCCCACTCCTCCTCGCTGATTACATGCCTCTCTGGGCCCCCGAGATTCCCACATCACAGCCCTGAGCTCCCCTCCCCACCCTGCAATGGCCTCACTGCAGCAGGCTGGGGGCCTTCCAGCCTCGCTGTCATTGTGCCTATGCCTAGAACAGAGGCTGGCACACAGAAGGCACCTGAGGACCACCAAAGGTACGCAGGTGGGCACTTTGTATCGGGTATGAACAACATTAAAGCACATGAGGCCTCTGGGGGTGGGCGCAGCAAGTGGTCAGTGCAATCTAATGTTGCTGTCGCAGTTGAAGGATGGTGGGCACACGCCCCTCCTCCCCCAGCCTGCAGCAGAGGGTTGAACAAGAATGGTACCCAGAAGGGGGTGGCTCTGAGGGAGAAGAAACCTCAGGCTGCAGGCAGGTGCAGGTGCCAAGGCGGGCATCTCAAGAGGCTCCCAGTTCCCCCTGAGTAAACAAACAGAGATGTCAAGGAAGCAGGCTCAAGCCTGACACCTTGGTTCTGCCTCAGGAATATGTACTGTCTGGGAGCTTAAGACGAGGAGTTACAAGTTCCAAGGCTGCAGACAGAGAAACCAGGGTACAAGGAAGCTAAGGCGGCCCAGTACAAGTTTTGTGATGAACCCCAGCAGGATCTGCAGGCCTGGAATGAAATGGGAAGTGATCTCCTCCTTGATACTCCTTTGGGGTGAGGGAAGGAGGAGGAGCCCCTGTCCCACCTGGGAATCCAGAGGCTCAGAGGCGCACAGGCAGGAGATAAAGACAAAAAGACTCAGCCAGAGACGAGGAGAGGCCAAGTCAGAAAAAGGAATGAAAGATAGTGGAAGAGTCCAAGAAAAGTGTCAGACAGTGAGTCAGAGGGTGGGGGAGGGGCCCCCAGCAGCTACCCAGGAATCAAGATCCCCACCGTGGCACTGTTCCCAGGGTGAGCACAGCCCCCTCCCAGGGTCCTGGAGGAAGGAAAAGCAATTCCCAGGAGCTGGCGCAGACTGAAATACCACACCCCCAGGAGCCCCGGAGACAGGCGCTGAATCAAAGAGAACCAGGCTCCTTCCGGCTCTGCCTGGGCCCTGAGAATCATGCCGCCTTCCTGTCACCACACACAGGAGCTGACAGCCAGGGCAAGGGGGGCACACCTCCCCACCCCACTCACCACAACTATCTACACACTCAGGCCTTCCTAGCGAATCCAGGGAAGGCCACCTCACCCTGGGAACCAAACAAACAAAGGCTGCTTGGGGCGGGGTGCGGGCTGGAGGAATGGCAGGAGACAGTCTGGGGGCCTCTGAAAAGTCACACCAACTCCTCTGTACACCTCAGCTGTCCCAGTGCCCCAGCCCCCACCCAAGCTAGTACTGGGGAGGGGGCACCTTCAGCAGTCTCCATCCAACTCCAAGAATCTGAAGAATGTGTCTTTTAACCTCAGGAACCAGACCCCCCAACCCAGGGCAGGTCAGCTTCCTCTAAAACCTGAGGTCGCTTGACCCCAGGCCCTCAAGAACTACTTCCTGGGAGAAGGGGAGGGCATCTCTGAGCACCTCGGGAGCCCCCAACGGAATGGGATGGACAAACAGCCTGGGCAGCCCAGGGAGGGCAGACAGGAAGCCTTGGCACACCCCTCCCCCACCTCTGCCTCTGAAAGTGATGGGGGAGGAGGCAGTTCCTCAGCCTTGGCCTCCAGGGCCTGGCACTGGGTAGGTGCCAGATGTTCGCTTGGCTACGTGAGGCAATTGCTTCTGCAGCAGAGAAGCTGCACCTGACAGCGGCTGCTTCCTCCGCCCGCCAGGCCTTCTCCACTCTCATTCATTCATTCAGCAAATACTTATTGGGCTCCTGAGACATGCTGAGCGCAGTTCAGGCAGCACTCTGCTTCCTCCAGCCCCCGCCATTTGCCCCCTCAGGGGGCAGGACATAGGCCAGTGCTGCCCCCTTGCAGCTCCGAGTTTAGTGGGCAGGTGTGCAATCAGTTTATAAGCCTCGTGGTGCGTTGTGATAGAGGGTCGAAGTGGGGGGCGCTGTAGGGGTGCAGCTGGGGGTGAGGACAGGTCTCTCAGAGGAAGGGATGTAGAAAGCGGTCCAGGGAGGGGGCCCAGCAGGAGTGGGGCACTTGAGAAAGGGAGAGCCCAAGGGGCAAGTGGGGAGGGGCTGGGGGGTGGGCAACAGATCCAGCCTCCTGGGCAGGCTTTAGCCTGAGGGCACAGGAAGCCACCCCGGGGTCTCGGAAAGGAGTGACAAAACCAGATTTGCATTTTAAAAAGATGGCTCACCGCCGAGACCGGAGGGGGTGTGACCGGTTCCACGGCGCAGCCCGAGCTAGGTAAGAGATGGCAGGACAAGGGCGCGGGAGAAAGGGGAATGGCCTTGGTGACCTCGGGATACGGAGACCGCAGAGGGCAGGGAGGTCAAGGGTTTGGGCATGAGGGGATGAGTTCCGCTCCTCTGGGACTGGGGGACATGTGTCTGGAGGCGTCGGGTGGGCCGTGGAGCTGGGGAAGGACCCTCTGTGTCAGCAGTGTGGGCTACGTGTGTGACTGTGCCGGGGAGCAGGAGTGACTAAGTGTGTGACGGCTGCAGTTCGAGCTGGTGGAAAAGCCCCCGGGGAGGAGAAACTGAGGACCGGAGGAAGTACGTGCTGGGGAAGGGAGAGGCAGTGCGTGGGAGACGGCCTACGCGTGCCCCAGGGTGGCCGGGCTGGCTGCGCCCGTGACTCACGGCGGTGGCCTCTGCGTGTGACGGCGAATGACAAACAGGTGAGCGTACGACACAATCCCTCCTCCCTCGCTCCCTCCCGGGGTCCGTGACTCACGGGGCCTCCTCCTCCTCGCTCATCCCTCCACTCCCTCCCTGATCCCCGCCTCCCAGGGGCGCCGGGCACGCGCCGGCAGCCCCAGCATCCGCCCCCGGGGGGAGCCCGAGGAAGAAAACGACAAATGTCACCTGCTCCGGCCACGAGAGGAACTTCTGAAAAGTTCTCAGGCAACTGGGTCAAAAGGAAACTCACCCGCGGACACACGCACCTCGTCGCCCCGCCGCCTCCAGCTGCCTCGGCTCGGCCGCCCCCAGCGCAAGGCCCGGGGCGCCGTGACTTCTCGGGGTGCCCGGCGGCGGGGCCGGAGAGGGGAGCGGAAAGCCTGCACCTCTCCGTCCCTACCTCCCCGCCACGGACCCCGGCGGTGTCACGCAGTCTGGAGCCAGACCGGGCTGTCCTTGTCCCCGCTTCCACTCGAGGTGTCAGGGGGGGCAAATGGCAGGGGCCGAAGGAGCAGCGCCACCTGCGCGGGACGCCCCCTCCCCAAAGTCCCATCCCGTCTGGCCGAGCGCCCCCCCAGGCCCCGCGCTTACCTGCCAGCCAGGCGCTCTCCAAGTATCCGGACGCGACCCGCGTCCCGGCCCGGGGCGCCCTCCGCACCGCGACCCTGAGTGCGCTCGGCCGGCAGCCGTCGGCCCTGCCTCCCCTGGCTCTGCGGATCCGGCAGCGGCGGCGGCGGGAGACAGTCTGCGCGGCCCCGCCCGCCGCTCCTCCCTCGTCGTCAGTGGAAAACTCCGGGGCTGGCCGCGCTGACGCACGCCCGGCCGCCGGCCAGGCCTCCCGCCGCCCCGCCCCGGAGGCACCGCCCCCTCCCCCGCCCCAGCCGGGCGCTGCG